TTTGGAAAGTACAAGGAAATCTGGAAAATTTTAAGTAAGTTAAAAGTGAGTTTTTGGTCAACTTCAAACGATCATAACTCTTATCTCAGGACGAGTTAGGTGTAGTTCCAAATAGGGTTGGAATGATCTTTCCAACGCCGCCAAGTTTGAGCGATTCCGAGTTCGGATGAGTGAGTTATGCCCTTTGGAAGTTGGGCTGTTGGATTAAGGAAATGTCCAACCCGGAAATTTTAAGGGGTATTTTAGTCTTTTCATTGCCCTATTATTTTAATTCGTTTTTAGGAGTTTAATATGGGTCAAATCAGATTTTAGTCAGTTTTAGAATTTGGGTTTTCACGCTAGGGCTAAGGAGAATGGAGAAGAAGAAGAAGCAAGAACGTTCAAGATTGTCAAAGTTTGGCTTGTGGAATTCGTCGGGAGTGATCCCTACAACGTATGCGAGATCACATAACGTCGGGTTAGTTCACCCACGCGCCAAGCATATTTAATTCAGTGATTTTCGTTCTAAAAAAGTTGGAATTTGATGTTCTTGAATTGTTTTCATTCTTGAACTTACATGTGATTGATAGGTTTTCTTGAGACGTTTTAGCAATTGTTAAGAGTTATTTCGAGTTAGATTCTAGTGTACATACGTTGGGTATCTGAATCTAAGAAATTATTGAGAAAGAGAATCTATTTAAAACGATTTAGGATTAGAAAATGAGTTGAAAAACTCGTCAAACGCACCTGGGGAGGGCCAGGCGCGACACACCCCCATAGCTCCAGGAGGTTGGGGGAGGCGCGCCTGCAGTGCGCCCAAAACAAGCCCCAGTAAGTTGGGGCCTGGCGCAGCGCGCCAAGGACGCGCCGGATCGGCGTTTTTCACCAGTTTTTCGTCGTTTAGCCTATTTAAGTTATTCTAAAATGTCCTAACACTTTCCATTGATTCTAACTACTCTAAATGACTTCTAAACACCTAGAAATCATCCATAAACATGAATCATAACCCTGAATCCATAAATTCAAATTCAAGGAAAGTCAAGAGTCAAGTCTAGAAAGTTTTCAGAGTCTTTTGCAAATGCTTTTAACCTTGTTTTAAGACTTAAAGTTCAAATTGAGTAAAAAGTAAGGAGAATAGATCGAAATTCAGTTCTTCAAAAAGTATATGGAGACTAAGTATTCCCAAAGAGATATTAATTGTTTTTCACATTTAAATAAGAACGGAAACTGAAATTTCCAAAGAGCCTTCGGGCTAGTTTTCAGAAAAAAGTAATAACTTTCTAAATGAAGTAAGAAAGGAAACTGAGATTTCTAAGATAGCCTTTGAGCTAAGTTTTTGAGCACTAAATCTCAAATCATAGAAGAAGTTTGTTTTTTAAAACATAAGAGCTAGTATATTTTAGAGTAGTATTGAGCACCGAATTGGGGGCGAGCACGAGTTCAGATAACTCACGTCTCCCTAAAACCATGTAGCCACCATGGGTAGACAAGGGCCATACTTTTTAGATGAACCATTTTCACAATAGACTAGTGGATCCACTTAGTAGTTCAGGTCTTATACCTCTAGCCGGGTATAAGATGCGCTGGCAACGTGAGGTAGATCGTTGTATCATCACTATAGCTCTTATGTGATGGTTGTCGGTTAGAGAAACTCCCATATAAGTTATTGTATTTTTATATATACCAGTTTATTGTATTTTTACATACATTTCAGAGTTGTTGTATCCTTGTATATACACAGAGTTGACATCATGTTTTTAAACAACTTTTCTTTATAATGCACTTGTTTTAAACTGTTTTATATTGAAATGAGTTCAGTAAGTATTCATGAGTTAAGAAAAGTCAAGGTAAATTTTCTTTCAGATTCCCTTTCAAGCATATGTTTGTTAGTATTCCAACTCGCATACTCGTACATTCAATGTACTGATGTCAGTTGGCTTGCATCTTATTATGATGCAGACACATGTAACTAGGATTGGCATCGGCGCATTGTTGATCCAGTGAGCAGTTCAGAGTTTGTTGGTGAGCCTCTTTGCATTCCAGAGGACTCTTTTTCATTGCTTCAGTTTTAGTAATAGTTCATTAGGATGTCGTGGGCCTGTCCCAATATCCATCTCAGTTGTTTAGAGGCTTCATAGACAGACAAACAAACAATTAGTTAGTTAATTCAGTTGTCTTTACTTTTCATTTCATACGTTAAAGACTTGAGTTTGCCTTAAAGGTCAGTTGAATGTTCCTTTATAACATTCTAGTTACTTCATAAATGTGTATGTGATGAGTTAAGTCTTCTGCTGAGTTAGTATGCCAGGTCAAGGGTTCGCTTGAGTTCAGTAATGGTCTTTGAGTGCCAATCTCGTCCAGGGTGTAGGCTTGGGGCGTGACAATTTGAATGAACCCACTTGTGAAAACGTCATTTATAAACTTGAGGTCGTGATTAATGATCTCGGCTACCATGATAAAATGGATGTCAATAACCTGTTGGATTATCCGGGTGAAAGTGATACATGTTCAAAGGTCCAGAGCTTAGAAATTATTGTGGATACCATCGGAAAAAGCAATGTTGATGATGAAGTTGAAGATGATATTATACCTTTGGAACCAGATACGCGTAAGGAAACACTTATCACATCTAGAACTCTTCACAATTTTATGGTGTTGTTCAAACAGACAACACCAGAGCTCTTGGATGCAATAAGAAAAGTTAGAGAAGAACTTTAACTAAATTTCAATTTTAAGAAAAAACAGAACATAATAGAATCATATTTCACTAAATTGTCTTAGATATATTTGTACTTTCAAAGATTTATTAATTTATGATATTAATGGGACCATATATTTATACAGGGGTCTTCTGGAAATATATTATCTTATTATCTTATCGAAATTTGTGATTTTTTCCATTGGCCCAAGTCGGGACCGGAGAAAAATATTACTTTAGAGAGATTATTAATGAACAACTTTCACATATATCAAACATAAAATCATATTTGTATGTTATAGTTATAGTTTGCATAATTGCGCTCCATATTTTATGTTTGCTATGGAGCTTTTGATTTGCATAATTCGCTAGAAACATCCAGTTTTATACAAATTGTTCAGTTTTGTATAAAGTCATTTATACATCGTAATTTGTATATTAAGATCTATATTTGTATAATTATAAGTGTACAGGACAAAAATATATGCATTTGTATTTGTATATACACTTTTCTCTCGTTTTATACAAACACAAACACATTTTATATCGAAATGTATAAAAAGACTAATTATATACCGAAAATGGCTAATCGTATACCGAATCAGATGGCAAAAAGGGATGCTTGCTGCGAATTACAATTAAAATAAACTATGGCTATAACATTTAATTTGAATTAATAGTTTGTTATTTCATACAATTTCCCATTATTAATTTACCGAGTATTAATTTATAGAGATTTTATTGTATATACAAATTTAAATAATCATTCAGTACATAAAGTAATATATAAATTTTGAGAAAATTCCCAAAATAGTCCCTCATCTTTGGGTTAAGACTCAAAGTATTATTGAGTTTTCACATGAAACACTAATAGTCCCTTATGTCTGCAATATTGGTGCACTTTTGGTCCTCCCCTAAACTTTTGCCTATTTTTTAATATTAATTTTGTCCACAATTTTATGTAAGGAATGTTCAATCGTCTTATTATATATTTAGTAGAAATAATAACTCTATGTGAGAGAAGGTGAGAAGAAGAACATTTGTTTTGTTCAGTAGAAAGATTATTGCAGCTAAACGAAGAACATCTTAACATATGACGTTGCAAGAAAAGAAAAAATTGTACTATTGCGCGTGAAATCGTCTCGACTTTACCTGTGATACGATCAATACTAAACAAAACAATGTGTTTTTCTTCTCACATACTCTCACAAAGAGTTATTATTTCTACTAAATATATAAAATGACAATTGAAAATTTCATACATAAATTATGGATAAAATTAAAATATTGGAGGAGGACCAAAAGTGCACAAATATTTTAAACATGAGGGACTATTAATGCTCCATATGAAAACTCAAGAATGACTTTGGGTCTTGACAAAAAAACAAGGGACTATTTTGAGCCTTTTCTCTGTAAATTTTCTTACAATTAATCCCCAAATTAACACTGTACCCTAAAACTTCCGACGACGTCGACCACCAAACCCTCCGGCGAACTCTCCGGCGTGGTCTTTCTTTCCAACTGAACCAACGGGCTGTCGTTGGAATTTGTTCGCTGCTCCTTCCTTTTCCCTTCTCTGGTGATTTTCTCTCCTTTTAAAAATATGGTGCTTTCAATTTTCTCTTTCTAGCATTTGCATTTATTGAGTAAGAGAGTGAAGTATTTATCCTTCAGTTTTGTTTAGAGGATCGTTAACATTTATGTAAGATTATAATATTTGTGTTTGAAATCACTAAGAGCTGGCACAATCCTATCTTACTGCTTTGAAGAAGGACGATTTAAGCATTTGGAGTGAATATTGAATAGCTAATTGTTAGTGCTATATGCATCTGGACTGAAGTTATTAAGAAATTGTCAGATTGAGTTTTAATTTTAGTCTGGCTTACTGATGTAGAAGTATTCAGAACTATCCGGTAATTTGCTAACTGAGTTTGAAATATTGAGAAGGAAAGGCATTTTCTTTGCTTAGTTGATCCCTAAATCTATTCTTATCTATTAGCTTGACAATAGTATTAACTTGATCAAATCAAACTCTAGTTTAAGCTTGTTTATACTACTGATATGACTTATTTTTATGTAATCAAATCTGATACATAATGATATTTTGATGGTTTTGTAGGTAAAGCAAATGAACAGGGGTAGAAACCGGTGAAGACCTTACTAAAGAATATTGGTTGATCGTTGGCAAGACCTTTCATTTTTTATTTTTTTTTAAATTTTGTTTCATTTTTTGGCCCCTGTTATTTTTCTCTCTACCTTTTCTTCTTCTTTTCCTCTTTCCAATCTATAACTTGGAGTTACTAGTCAATAAAAAGGAGCCTCACCGGCGACGGATCACCACCGTCCGCCTATGGAACACCTTCTCCGGAGTAATTTGGTGACCAACGATAACAACAATCCTCAAGCTATCTTACAAGCTCTCTCTCTGATCTCCAACCCTTCCACCTCTGACTCCACACTTTCATCCATTGCCAAAGTCTTAATCATCTCTCTGAAATGCTCTAACCCTAATTCTAATTCGCATCATTTTATCCACCATCACATTCTCCGCCTCTTTTCTCTTCTTTTAAATCGCTGTCCACACCTCCACCATAACCTCATCTCTGCCATCCGTGAATTCTCTCTCCTCCCTTCAACCTCCACGAGATTACTTGTTGATGCCCTCACATGTCTCTCCATCTCAGATAGTAACGTTAATGATGAATCAACATTCCTCTCTCTTGTTTTTCGTCCTTGTGTTTCTGTTCGTCATTGGTTACTTTTAAATGTGAGTAAATTTGACATACGGTCGTCAGTTTTGCTTACGGTTCTGCTAGGATTTACGAAGGACCCCTACCCGTGTATTCGAAATGTTGCTTTGAGTGGATTAGCTGATTTGTGTAAGTGCATTGTTGTGGAAGATGAAAGTCTCATAAAAGGTTGCTATTTTCGAGCTGTTGAGCTTCTGTTTGATTCTGAGGACTTGGTACGATGTTCTGCAGTTCATGCGGTAAGATTTCCAAGTGCTAAATAAGTCCGATGTTTACATGTTACCTCTTGAAATGTATGTATTATTTGTATGTCAGTAAGGTAAAGAGAACCAATAGTGTTAAAGAATCCAAATTGTTTACTGTTGGCATGAAACATGTGTAAATGGAGTGAAATGGATATTGAAGACTTATATGACCGAAGCAAGTAAGTTTCGATAGCGGCATAATAGTAGCAGTAGTTGTATTTAAGTGCTACTAACCTGATAAAAATAATAATGTAATTGTTCTTATTACTTTAGGTTATGATGAGGCTATTGCTTTTTTCTATTTTATTTTTGATAAAGTATGATGAGGATTTCACTAGAAAGAGGTTATTTTGTGATTGAATATGAATTGTTCTTGGCCATTTTCAGTGGAACTTAACTATATATTCTTCTTGGGTTAATTTTGTTGCATTTCTGAATTTTGGTCGTGTGTAGGAACTAGAAAAAAGTAAGTGTTGTCAAGTGCTGGTTATCTTTTGTGCTAGAAATAAGTTGAGAAGGTAAAGTTATTAGTTTTCGACAACTTATCTCTGATTTATAAAGTTTTTTTGACCAAAGACTGTTGTGGGTTTTGCACTGATGAAGACCTGTTAGCATATAGTTTAAGCAAATGGTATGAATTATACTATTTTAATATTCTGCAATTATACGTTGAGGGTTGATTTTTTGGTGTAAGGTTCTTCCTTTAGTTTTGGGGGGGTGGTTGGGTGAGACGGTTATCTCTTGGATTAGAATTTCCTTTTTAAATCTGTGGCTTGAGAAATTAGGTAAAGCTCTTCTCATGCTCTAAGAGGTTGTTTGGTTTAGACACTGGGTATACAAGGATTAGTAATGTAGCGATTGCAATGCAGAGATTAGTAATGCAAAGGATATAATGTACAAATTTATTTAATTTTTGGAGGCTTAATTTGATATATTGCAATATAGTATTTTATAATTTAAATGTGTTTTCTTTGAAGACAATAAAAGTTGAATATTTTTTAATCCGTACACTACTATTACAAATACCTGCATTCTTATTCCATTTTCTGTGCCGGATAAAATGATATATAGATTCCCACATGACTAATGCAAGTATGATTAAGGAGAAAAACAAAAGTAGCAAATCAAACATTGTATTAATAATGCTGGATTTCATGTGGAGATTAGATCTCCTCTCTAGTGCAACCAAACAACCCATACAGGTTTCTTGCTGAAATAAATGTTGTTGTTTTAAGAACACAGGGTTGCTGTCCAACCGGTTCATTTTTGTGGATGTTTAATCGTACAAAATGCTGCATTAAATTTTCTCTGCTATAGGAAAATTATAGATCAAAGATTTTCATTTTCCTGCTTAGAGGACATTTATAATCAATGACTAATTCATTTTACTCCTGTTGCTGATCCAGGTTAGTGCATGCGGGCAGTTGATTGTGGCTAAACAAGAAAGTAAAGGGGACTGGTCTGATGCATTATTTCTGCAGGTTTTTTCTTCTTCTCCTTATCTGCCTAATTGGGTTTCACATGAAAGTCATCTCTGTTAATATCTCACCCTTGCTTTCCTGCGGTTGAAAATGGGTATATGGTATTTACTTACATGGAAGAAAAGAAGGAAATCAGGAAGTGAAATTAATGATTTTTTTGATGCTTCTAGAGGTAGATGGCACCCAAATCGGGCCGCTGTAGAACAATCTACAAAATTTTACAAGCTTAATATTCGTAATGAGTCATTTGCATTTGCTGAATTAGGTTCTGGATGGGAGATCAGAAGAAACCATTGGAGATACTTCTCATATTAATTTAACAACAATGTTGCCATGAGGTGTCTGAGTCTTGGCATGAACATCTTGTGAATCATAATTGTTTGAAACCGAATTAGCCAGCATGTACTCTCTCTCTCCCTTCTCATTTTTAGAATTTGTTTCAACTATACCTGGTAATTGCTTCAAATGTTTTAGAATAAGATGTTTAAAATAATGTTTTGATTTTGTTTTCGTGCAATGGCCATATAAACTATAATGCAAGATATCTTTTTGACTAACCTTTCTCATTATACATGATATGCTTGCAGCTATGTTCAATGGTGAGAGATATGAGTGTCAAAGTCAGGGTTGAAGCTTTTAATGCCCTTGGGAAGATTGAAACTGTTTCTGAATATATTCTCTTACAAACGCTATCTAAGAAAGCTTCATCTATAACAAAAGAAATGAATTTTCCTGGCCAGTACTCTGAGACATTGTTCAGGATACCAGCAGAGAGCGCTGTTCTTGCTTTTCTACATGGACTAGAGGATGAATTTGATGTGGTAACGATTTCTTTGTTTGCCAAGTTTTGAGAGTCAATTATTATTTCTCCTTCTCTAATTTAAGAAACTTTTCAATAAGGAATATGCCATTATAACTCCCTTTTGTTTAATTGAAGGTAAGAGTATCTGCTTGCCGTGCTTTGCAATCGTTAGCAATCCATTCTACTGGTTTTTCTAATATGGTTGTGAACTTGTTGATGGGCATACTTAATGATGATTCAATGGCTGTAAAATTGCAAGCTTTAGATACTTTGCATCATATGACAATGTTTCGCCTTCTAAAGGTTCAACAACCACATCTGCACATGGTAAATCTTTGATTCATCTAGAGGCCTTTGTTTGATTTTTTCTTGTTGAGAGACACAGGCCTGTGTGATTACTTTGTCTGCACCTCGTTCAAATCTTACACCTGGACCATATCTTGCTATATTGCTGCATTTAGTGCTTGTTTGCCAGCTTGATCCAACATGGTGCATCTTATTAATTGTTGTTGGGATAAACTGGTTAAAGTTCCATCTTCTCATCTTGATCATTGCTTGCGCGAAGGAAGAAGCTAATCAATCAGAATTGAGACAGGGAGGAGAGGCGAAAGAGAGATTTTCGATCCTGCAAGCAGCAAGCAACAACGGCTTTTCCGCCGTTGCGCGCTAGCTTGTAGTTTAGGGGTATAGTAGGGATGCCCCTTTCTCAAACTTTTCTATAATAGAAGGTAAGCTTAGAATGACACCATGTCTGTTCCAGTTTCATTGACCCGATGTGGAATTCCCAAGATCATACCTGCGGTATTACGAAAACACGTAAGGGCAAAGCCTGATCATGGTGATTATTTGGTCAGGATATATCTATCTTGGTTTGGATTATCAAAATAGATTGCGGTGTCTCCTAAAGTGAAGAAAGCCATGGACAAAGGAAATCTCTGACACAGATTTAGGCTTCTCCGATTGAGAAAATCCCGACAATTACTTTTATAGTAGCTGCGAGCGTAAGATCAAAGGCAGTTCCAAAAAGGAGTTACCTATTTCCAGCTTGAAAAAGTAAAGTCTCAGTGCCAGTTGTAAGGTTAGGAAAGCCAGTTTACTTCGCATGCTGGTTAAGTTTTGATCTATCCCTTTCTTCATTTTGCTGTGCCCCTTTAGAGATTGGGAATTTTATGCTTTTCTCTTTTTAATTCAACTGCTATAGCTACTTAATAAGGAAAACGTTGACTACTGTAGTGTTGAAATATGTTATATTGTATTTGCTTCTACTTATAAGGAAAACATTGACTATTGTAGTGTCGAAATATGTTAGATTGTTTTTGCTTCTGCACATTTGAAAGGAAAGTCCATTGAAATTTCCTCTTAAACTTTTATTTTTTATCTTGCAGTTTCTTGGGATTCTACTAGATAGTCACAGCTTGATAAGATGTAGAGCGAGGAAGGTACTAAAACTGACAGAACTGCCGAGCTTGGGTATGTTCAAAATGTGTGTTGATGGACTTATAAGAGATTTGGAATTGTATCCGCAGGTATGTTGCAGAAAGATTGTTTCACATTGCTATTCACTGAGCAGTTAAATCCAGAAACATGGTTAGGGTGCCAATTGTGATTGCCATTCAAGATGAAGTTCGAAATTCTCAAAGGAATAGCAACCCATTTTACTCTTTAAATTAACTCCCGCCAGAATTTTCCAATTTTTGGTAGCCCATGTTTTGATTTTCCATTTGCTAGGAGCAGCATTTTTGGAATCTCGCTAAAGCACCCAATTAATATCTATGTAGGGTGGATCTAGAGGGTCGGTCATGGGTTCACGCAAACACAATAGCTTACAAACTTTGCCTGAACCCTATATATATATTTAGAAATGCACTGAATTTCTAAGAATAGTTGACCTGAACACAATTATTATTGTAGTATCAACTTGAGGTCGTTATGTGAACTCATAAGCTTCAAATTTTGTATCCGCCTCTAAGTCTCTATGCAGGTACCCAATCCTAGACTTAATGGAGCTTGTCTGATTCTGAATCTAACACACATGAGCGGTAACTCAACTTCATACAACCTTGAACCTCTCTTCCTTCTGTGACCTTCTCTACAAATTTAATGATTTTATTACAATAGTCTCGTTATCCCAGGTTTTCCCTATTTATTGAACGGTCATTGCAGATCATTTCCTTCATTTTACAGACATTACTCTTATATACCTTCCAAATAAATGAAATTTTGGAAGTCAAAACAGGAATACATCTTATAGATATTCTTCCACCTTTGGCAAATACTACCTCTCCCTTTAGATGCCCGCTTCATATAGTTGCAACAATCACGCCTCAATCCCATACAAGTATGGGTTGGCCAAATGATTCCTCATTGACCATGTTTCCTCGTTTAAATTCATCCAAGGCCAACACTATAAAAAAGACAACCCGGTGTATGAAGCATCTCGCATTCACGCTGGGTTTTGGGAAAGGCCGCACCTCAAAAGGGTTTTAATGTAGGGAACATACCTTGACTCAAACATCAGTGGCTAGCTCCCAACTTGAGTTGGTAACCTATAGGTAACATGGAGACAACTTTGCGTGATCCAAGTTGACCACTTGGCATAAAGAGTGGGAGGAACAAAGAGAAAACGTTAAAATTTGCAAGATTTCTTATAATGGTTTTTTACTTTTTCCTTATTCTTTGTTTTTCTTTCTTCTTCTTCTTCTTCTTCTTCACGAATCAGGATTTACTGCACCACCACTTCCGATGCCACCATCTCCACCACAACTCCACCCATTCTTCATAACTACAGCCCCCTCTTGTGCTTCACAATAAGTTCACATGTATATACTAAAATTCATTCAAAATAGAGATAGCCGCCTTCCTCCATCTCCCACCTTCAATCTGATTAAACAGATTCCATAGGAACCACCACAAATAATACTCCCCTTTGTAAAATCATTTCCTTGATTCAAATTCAATTCCAAGAACGATACCCATCAAAACTATACTAAAGAGTACCTAGATACAAAATACTATCCCTAAAAGTTAAAGAAGCACATCTAATTGTCGCAAAATTTCACAATTTACAGAAGTCGTACTCTATATCTTCTTCAAATTGAAAGAATCAAACCCAACACCCTTTCAACAGAAGAATAGTCATCTCATTTTTTAAAAGAGGGGGAGATCTGAGGGAGAAGGAGCCAAGAAGGGTGGCTGTTGGTAGTGTTGGGGTCAAATGAATGGCTATGATGTTTTAGTGATGGAGAAAAGGGCAAAGGAAGGTGGTTGTGGGATGGTGGGGGTGCACAACAAGGAAGAAGGGTAGACAACTGGTTCTCAGATGCCTTTTGTGCAATTTGACAGGAGAAACAAACAACCACCTTTTCTTGCATTATTACTTTACAAAGCAAGTCTGGAATTTATTCCTTAGCATTTCAAATCTGAATTGGACAATGCCAGAACATACATCCGAGTTGTTAAAGAGTGGATAAGGAGAGGAGGCAGCAAGAGTCAGAGGAGATGGTGGAGGTTAATACCATCATGTATATGGTGGTCAGTTTGGAAGGAAAGGAATGGTAGATGTTTTGAAAATAGATCCAATTCCATTCACAAGGTCAAATGGAACTGTATAGTATCCTTACTTTTTTGGTGTAAACAGTTGCGTATAGTAGATACAGACCAGATTGTAGATTTGATAGGAAGCTTGTAACTGACACTTTTTGGTGGTGACCGGCATGCCCTTAATGCTGAAGAATACAATCTTACCAGTTTCAAAAAAGAAGAAGAAATAATATGGGGTTAAGTGAGAGAGATTAGCAGAAGGAGGAGGGGGAATTGACACGTAAAGTTATCTTGGGTGAAGTCAAATAGTAAGAAAACAATGTTCTCGATAGCATTCCCACATACTTCATGTCACCGTACACTATGCCTAGTTCAGTGATGAAGCAGATATACAAACTAAGGTTTCTTATGGGATGGTAATTGTCAGACTCACAAGTTTTCACTGGTAAAGTGGATCAAGGTCACAAAGCCAAAAGCACAAAGAGGCATTGGAATCAGAAATTTGAGACTACACAACAAGAGCTTGCTAATGAAATGGCTATGGAGATATGGTCATGAAGATACAACAATTTGGAGGACTGTAATTGATGCCAAGTTTAGAACCCACAGCCAGTGATGTTCATGGAGTTGGCCTTTGGATGCATATTAGTAGCCACCAAATAGACTTCTTCAAGAATATCTCGTATTAAGTTGATCCTCTGAGTGGCCTTGGAAGCATGTCTGGAAGATCAAAACACCTCCAAAGGTCACCTGTTTCACTTGAATTGCTTTGAATGAAGCAACTTTAACCCAAGACAGTCTCAATAGAAGAAACATTGCATTAGTCAACAGATGCTATATGTGCCTACATGATTTAGAGAGTGTCAACCATTTGCTTTTGCATTGCCCACTAGTAAAATTAACGCGGAAATTTAATATCACAGAATTTATAAAATAATACTTACAATTTATCAGTCATTAAAACTAAAACACTATATTATCTTACATACAAGATTACGTGGTAACGGACATTAATAATGTAAAGAAAAATAATAATTATAACATCTTATCATTTATCCTTCAATCAATCATCTTTAATTTAATTTTATAATTTATCCTTTTGCCTCTAGGAAGTGTTACTATTTGATATTTTAGGGAAATTAGATGAACATCAACATGAGATATTAAATTTTCTAATAAATAAATAATCATTTTATGTACTAACAAATACTTATAACAATAACTTTGCAGAAACATAAACAACAAAGTTTAAAACATGTACTAAAAAACAACAATTAATAGCATAAGCATAAATAAATGACTGTAAAAAAAATATACCAGGATCTATAACAATACAATGAAATAGAAAAGAAAAAATTGAGCCCACTGAATGCAGAGCGTCTCCTTAAGGAAATTATTCCTCTCTAATACCTGAGGTTCAAAGGAAAAGATCCTCTCAAGATGGAACGATTTATCCACAAGTATATTGATACAAAAACAATGGTGTCAGTGAGCCACTCAATAGGAGCAAAGTGCTCGAATATTTAAATGTGCAGAAAAAGAAGTAGTAGTTCAGAATTTTCGTTGTTTTAAAATGAGAGGAAATCCCTCTATTTATAGACAACAAATGATAGTGTGAACAAATGCTTATTGTGCCTTATCGGAAATGTCACAACTCTTTGGAAAAGTTACAACCCTTCGGAAAGGTCAGAACCTTTCATAAAAGTCGCAATTTTTCATAAAAGCTGCAACTCTTCATAAAAGTCGCAACTCTTCATAAAAGTCACAATTTTTCATTAAAGTCACATCTTTTCATAAAGGGGATGACTATTTTTGGGTAACTCTTCATAAAAGTCGCAACTCTTCGTAAAAGTCATAACTTTTCATAAAAGTCATAACTTTTCATAAAAGTCACATCTTTTCATGAAAGGGGAAGGCTATTTTTGGAAATAAATAAATTTGAAAGAAAATTCTAGCTTGTGGTGGCGCCATGTAGGCGGGCCTAGGGTTCTCTTTTATATAAATATATCATTTGCAGCGGATATCTGGAACTTTCTTCTGTCTATTTCTGGTCTACAGTGGGTGACTCTACATTCTATCAAGGATGCATTCACTTGTTGAGTCTTTTTTGGAGAGCTGAGAAATCCATCAGGAAGATCCGTAGAATGATTCTAGCAGTAAAACTTTGGTATGTACGGAATGAAAGGAAGCGCAGGTGCTGCTTATGGGATTTCAACTTCAATTCAGTCAGTAAAATCTAGATGTCAAGTTCATTTGTTCAGTTGGTTCTCAGCTCCCTTGTAAATAGTGTTTGGACAGTTTTTTGGACTTTGTTAGTTCCTTGGTTTTAGTTTAGACATTATTGTGTAATGGAGCAGAGCTAACCAACTTTTGTATCTTCTTGCTCACATAACATCTTCCTGATGCTTTTTCAATGACAACTCTTTACTTCTTCAAAAAAAAGATGGAAAATAAGAAAAATATAAATAAAAAGGAATATGATCAAGCAATGATTGGTATGTGTTAACACCTTCATTAACATTGGGATTGGTTGAGAAATTGGGTAATAATATCACTTGAAACTGGTTTGGGGGAATACAAGGACCCTCACGAAGTTCCAGTATCTCTTTGGAAAAAAGGGTTCTACTTGGAGGGGATATGTACCATTTCTTCTATATTTATGCATAATTTTTTTAGGATAAGCAGATTTGTTTTTTGAAATCCCAATTTGGGGATTTCATTTATGATATTTTCTTTTCATTTTTAGTAGATAGTTCATATGAAAGCGAGGATACAATTGTTATTAGTTATTGTTATGAATTTGCTGTTTTTTCTAAAATTTTAAAATCATTTTCAGGATGAAGCTGAAGTTTTTTCTGCCTTATTCATGATTGGTCAAAACCACGGAGAGTTTTTAGTCAGACTGATTAATGAAGCTTCCCAAATGGTAAGTACTGATCCCTGTATCGTCCAGTACATTAGCTCTTTTTTTCAACATCTAGTACATTAGCCCAATTGATGGTTTTATGGACATTTCCATTGATTAGTATGCTGAGCTTCTTTATGGGTTTAAGATGTTATGAGTTCTATATATTAGCCTTTTCAACTAATTGAAAATTCTCTTTTTATTTCATTTATAGTATATGGTTTTTGGTCAAAATTTCTCCTACCCTGATCTAGACACATGGTTAGTTTCTCTTTTGCCAGATTTTAAAAATAAGTAATCATGTTGAACATGAGCATTTATATTTGTTTACTTTAGCAGTTCAGATTCTAAAAATCGACATCGACATTTCTAGCTTTATATAATAGTATCTCCCTGTGCCGTCAGCTCATATCTTTCACTTTGTGAGTATTTCATTTAATTTGACACCATTATATCTTCTATGTAGGATACACGTAACTAACAAAAGTGAAAAGTAAGTAGGGTTCTTTGGTAGGAGGAGTCTCATGCATCACCTTATCATATCACAATACATGTGTCAAGGTGAACAACTTATTTTGGGTGGTGAGAAATGTGCAATAGGTCATTTTAAAGGCCAGCATCTTAGACATTTTAACTGCACGTGTAAGGAAATCGAAGAGCTTAGATATTTTTGTCCTGCATGGCTTTTCCAGTCAAAATTTAGGCTTTCTTTCTGGTGTTGTGAAATTTTGAAAATGCCCAATGTTAATCTCCTTGTTCTTTATATTTTGAAAATTTCACTTATACAAGTTTTTCTGTCACCATCTAATGTATGCACAGATAGAGCCCTCTTCTGGAGGCAAGTTGGGTTATGACAATGTGAGGAAAGCTTCATATCTAGTGTTAGCCACCTCTGCTCCAGTCTCAATGAAGCAGCAAACTTGCAGCATTCCACCAAGAATGTTCTCTTATGCAGTCACACTATTAGGGAGAATCTCTCGCAGTTTTGCAGATATAGTTGACCAGAGAACACTTTTGGCTTATCTTTCTTGTTGCAGTAGATTCACATTTGTTTCTGCATCAGAGTTTTTTAAAATGGAAGAGCATCGTCTGTTACCTCATCAGAACAATAAAATGGAAGAGCATCTGGAGGAAGGTGATGTGCAATTGACACAAAGACGTGAAATCTCTGAATACGACATTTGGAGGAAATTACAGCTGAAGGAAGGGGAAAGCTCGCTTTTGGACTTCCAGGTTGAGCATAATAAAGAGAGAAATTGTGTGAATATCATCCTTCAGGTGGTAATAGACATTTGGCCATCACTGAAACTTGGATTGATCAATGAAGTAGCTTGCACACTGAGGTTGCAATTCTCTAGTAGTAATATGACCACCCTTGAATACAACTGTTATTTTTTTTTTCATTTTATTATTTTGAGTACTTGCAGGAAATCCTATAATAGTTTATAGACATAGTTGACTTCTTCTGCAATGATTGGTCATCTTTTCGGACATATCTTGCTTGTTGTCAGTTGTAATTTTTAGGTATATTCCAGTCAAGTTATCAAATACTATATCTGTTGCTAATGTTACTCAACCGTATGGTTTATGCAGGAGTTTGAAGGCAGAATTGGGAACGAGATCAAATCACAATCATAGGGGTGAGTTAGTGTTTGCTTTGCAATATATAGATGCCTTGGAACAACTTGGATACTTATGGCATCACTTGGTGTTTTCCAAGGAGTTCTACTTCCATGAATGGGGGAAATTGGAGTGTTCTTTGAAAAAACTGGACAGATGCCTGAGGGACATGAGATATAAGTTAGTAGGTTTAACCAAAGAGGACAATTTTCTTATCTTAGAGTTAATAATTGCAAACGGTATACTGACGCTTTGTAATATAGAAGCTTGTGCGAATAAGACTACTCTAAAGAAGTTGCATTCTGTCATGTCTTGTATTGAGCATATTTGTGGAGAAGGATCCACTGAATCATCCAATTTTGTGGTTGAAGTTCAGAAGTCATTGAGTGAGATTGACACCACTAGTAGTTCAATCTTGGACAATCCATATCTCCTTCTGAAGTCTCTTGAGCATTTCACTCCAAGAAAGGTAGTTTCGTCGGGGAATCTCAAATATATGGAAGCTGAACTGCATTTTCAAGGCAGTGAATTTCAAAATCCTCTTCCTTTCATCTCTGGGCTGCCTGTTGGTTTATCTTTAGACATCAAACTCCATGATATCTCGAGCGAGAGTAGGTTGTGGATAAAAATGAGCTGTGAAGAGAAACTAACTCAATTTGTTTTCCTGGATTTGCATGAGATTGAAGGAGACGATGAAGTGAGGAAATTCACATTTGTTGCACCCTTCTACCAAACCCCCAAGGCAAACGGTTTCTCATTGAAGATCTGTATTGTTCTAGAGTGCATATCTGACGGTGATCAGTTGTTCAGGGGCTGTGGAGGTCCTAAGCATGAAGTTGTCCATCTTTGTGAAGAAAAAGAAGTGTATTTTTCCGTTCGAGTTAGGTAACGGTGTTTCAATTGATCAAGTGTGATCCAAAGACAGCTATTTTTCTAAATTATGGTGCTCATTGTCAAATGCTGGTACAATCAGTTACTGGATTTATACAATTTTCTCCTTATCAAGTAGTAATGACCATGGACTACCCATAGTACCGAGAGTTGTAAGCGAGTAGAGTGATTAGTTCAATGTAAGCAGGTTGCAGAGCAGGAGTAGGAGTAGCAAGGCACATGGGCTAATATGCCAAGTGAAGTGCAGAACTTTAGAAATTGAACATGCTTAAACTGGTTTTCATTTTGATCATCTCGGTATCGAGTACATTGTTCTGAGTTTTAGCTATTAAAGGATCCCATGTTGTATAGTGTATACCTGAAGTTGAAACTGGCATGTAGCTTTTCGAGAATGGATAGATTATGAGATGAGTTTGTAAAGGAAAAAGAACAAGAAAATATATTGTGCAGCTCCAATATTTGTCCAAAAGAACTTTTGCTAATGAGCTTTATGCCTGATACTCTTATATAGTACTCCATCCATTTCAATTTATGTGAACCTATTGGATTGCTACATACTTTAAGAAAGAAGGAAGATTTTCAAAACTTATGATGTCAAAAACATGTCAAAAATTGTAGTTCAAAATATTTCTTCTTGTTGGTGTAGTGATAAATACAGAAAATTGTTTCTGTATTTAGAAAGGGATCATTAAATTATTTCAAAATTCAGATTACGACATTGATTGGGAAGGGATTGGTGATTTGCTTATTTGAACTTGGACAATTTTCTCTTCATAAGCTATCTTTTAAGGTTGAGTTAGGTTCAAATGTATCTTTTAATTTTATAATTGAATACAACGATTACATTTCAATCTCAAACAAATTGGATCGCCTATATGAATATTTCGTTGATAGTATCTTTTCATGTAGCTCAACTCCTGTCACCATTGTACTAAAATTAATGTCACACTACATGATGGAAGAAACAAAATGCCTTGTTATTTCAATGTTTTAAGAGCTAGACAAGACTATAGTGAAGAGGCAATTGGCAATATCATATAATATAATTTTACTAGTATTTTGTAATTGCCTCATGGTACTCTAAACTGTTACATAGCTCAGAAATAGAGAAAGGAAAATTATAATTAGCTTTGGATTATATCGATGGAGGGCATGTGTGACAATAATGAATTAAGGGGTCATTAGATAATATCGATGGAGGGTATGCATGTACACAAATTTTATCCTTATCTTGTGGAGGTAGAGGGATTGATTCCGAAAAATTCCTCGGTTCAAATAATTCATATCATAACAAATTTAAAAAGAAAAATAAAATAAAATTTATGATCAAGATATCGAGAAAATGTTCTAAAGCATATATATAAAAAACGAATAGTAATCACAATAAAATAAAACAATAACCAAAGCACAATAAACACATAATTAACAAAACACAAAAACTATTAGAATAGTGTTAATACTACTCAGAAGCAAAGAGAAACCTATCTCACTGGACAACAAAACGATGCAACAGTTTAAACCCAACATTATTATCAAATGTATTGTTATAAAACAAGATTCTTACATATCCTTCAGATCTCGAAGCATCCTATAAGTAAAAATCAACCATTTTAAAAAAAAAGTAAAAAGTAAAAAGAAGGAAAAATCACACCATATACACATTTAAGGGTCAATATTACAAGTTTTAAACACATTCTTAAAATATTCTTACTTATAACAGTTTATTTACGGGTTATAACATATTACTTAAATTTAACTTTATTTAAAAATTAATTACAGGTTTATTTAAAAATAATTAATCTCTTTATATTTTTATATTATTAATTATTAATAGCTAGCTAATATAATTTCAGTTCCTTTTTTAAAATCAAAATTATCAGTTACACGAATTTAGGGATTTACATTGATTAGACTTCCTTTTTTACCGTTACACTCCAATTAATTTTATTTAAAAATCAATTTCCATTTATTTAATAAATGATTAATCTATTTATGGTTTATTATTATTAATTAATAATATGTAATTAAATTGATTTCTGTTCCTTTTTTAAATCTGAAATTATCAGTTACATAGATATAGGGATTCACCTACAACAAGTTTCCTTCTTTACCGTTACCACCTCCCATACGTCAATCCCTCCCCCCTCCCCCCACGCTCATCCAGTTCTACATGCCATTAACACACTAGCCCAATTTTACCTTCATCTATCACATCTTTCTCACCACCAAACTACACTAACTTTACAATCCTCCATTCAATTTAGTTTTTTCAACAAAACCATGTCGAAGAAAACTGTTGTAACTCCTCGAAAGATCCCTCGATTAGTCGAAGGAACTTCTACGGATGAAGTTCATGCTCCATCTTTCAACATTTTGACTCAAACACCGCTGCCAAACATTGTTGAAACTCCGGCTAGGGGTAATTCATCTCTATTGAAAGATCAAAAACAGAAAAAAATGACTCAAACAAAAGGGTGAGTCCGATAAATCGAAAGGGGAAGAAGAGGAAGGGGGAAAATGTTGAAACCCCTTTTGATTTTGATTTTGATTCTGATTTTGTTACTGAATCAAAAAAGAAAAAAAGAAAAAAAATAATGAATGTTGAAGTTGCACCTTCTACTTTTTTAGAATTACATGTTTTTTTTTTTTACTTTTGAACAACTTTTTTGTATTTAAGTATTGGATGATATATAATATCATATGTTTTCTTCCAATCAGATACCATCTACATATGAATTACTGTTTGGCTATTATAATTTCAGGATACTAGTAATATACAGTTTTCATACCATTTGGATTCACTGTTTTAAAATATCAGTGTGAATCCAAATTGTACAATTAATGGATGAAACGTGTGTGAAATTTGATTAATATGTGTATGACACTCAATTTAATGTTTGATGGTTGGATATTGTATTAATTGTGATATAATATTGTTATACAAATGATATACATTGTGTGATTATATGAAATTGATTTATTGTTAGTATAATATATGTGATATAAACTGAAGTTCGTGTTGGAATGAAACTTGAATAAGATTGGTATAAAGTTTGTTATATATTACACTATATTTACACTATCTTATATATTAACCTGGAATAAATTTTATTTCCAAGTATATTAAATCTGTATAAATAATTAATGAATCGCGTATATGAAATCTGGAATCTAAAATCTGAAATTTGTACAAATATTTACACTATCTTATATATTAATCTGAAATAAATTTTATTTTCTAGTATATGAAATCTGTATGAATAATTAATGAATCATGTATATGAAATCTGAAATCTGAAATCGGAAACATGTACAAATAGTTACACTATCTTATATATTAATTTGGAATAAATTTTATTTCCAAGTATATGAAATCGTAAAGAAATCTACATTAGCTTTCTTTTGATCTAAAAAAACCCGCACACCAACATCATTGTGGATACTAACAGGGGGACATCTATCACTAACTATATATTTCATCTCTATATTGTGAATATTAATATCTATCATTAGTTGCGATGTTATCGCACTTACTAGACCACTATAAAGACTAGAATACTCATATATAATCCCCTCCATCTGAAAATCAACATATTTCCCTGTTTCATTAAAAAAATAAAATAACAATTAGTCTTACATAATACAAAAAAAAAAAACAAAATTATACACACTTGTCATTATTTTTTCATACAAAAATCATTCAAACAGTAAACTACAAACATATTTCATTAAAAAATAAAATTTCAGATTTCATACCCACTTAATACAAATTTCATACATACAATCATCATTTATACCAAATTTATACATTTCTCATACCAAATAGTTCATTCCTTTCACACAAATTTATACATAATTGACAAAACTTATATAAACAATAACATTTCACATTTCATACCAACTTAAAACATTTTTAATACACTTATTCAAACTTCAAAATAACTTTTTTTACTAACTAGTTAACACACTTTCATACCCACTTAAAACAACTATCATACAATTCTTCAATACACTTTCGTACCAAATTAATTACAATTACACTAACAAATTCATTCAAAACTATACATTTCAATTCATTTTTTCATGAAAAAACCCAGTAATCAATAATATTACAGAAACTTACCAAGAAAAAAACCAGTTATCAATAATATGGTGACACTAAACCACTACCAAAAAACAGAAACTTACCAAGAAAATCACTAATATTACAATTTCACAACAACTAATAAGTATTATGAACAAAACGTATTGTTTATACAAAAAAAAATATCACATTCAATATAGTGGCGATTTACAGTTTCATTTTTTTTTCTATTTCATTGAAATCCAAATAAAAATAGTAAACAATTAAAAATACTCACTTGAAGCAACCCATCTTCCGCCATGTTTAATTAATATTGATACGTAGTTGTCCATCACAAAAAAAAACACGTTTTTAAAACAAAAAAAATAATCAATTTGTTGCCAGTGACAATTTCTGGAAGAAAAACAAAGAGAGAGAAACGTGAAAGAAAAATGGATAAAATCTGATTTTTAAATTAATTTTAACAAATTGGAGTGAATGAAGGAAACTGAATATTCTTAATTAGTTTGAAATCCCTTAATTCATGCTAATTAATAATTATCTTAAATTAATTCAAATTTAAGATAATCCCTATTTCCGTTTTTTTCATTTTTTCCTTCAAAAACGTTTTATTTTAATTTTTTTTAATCTTTTTATTCTTTTTAAATCAAATGTTTTTAATTACTAAATTTTTTATTTTTTTTTAATAATATATTACAACCTGAAATTTTTAATGTTATAACTTGAAAGTCTAAATCTACTGCTATAACTCGAAAATATTAGTATAATATATGTCATATTAGAAATTTTCACTAAAAAGAAAGGAGTAGAAAAAAAGTAAAACAAATTTCTTGAATCGAGTATTGGCTTTGAGCCCCACGGCGATATTTGCTTTTATTTGGTCCATTTCTCCATTCATTATTTTTTGGTCCCAT